GCCGCGTGCGCGCCCTCCCTCGGGCCGCGCGCCAGCCCCTAGTCCCGCCCTGCGCCGGCGGAGCGCGTCCCCACGACAGTGCCACCTGCCGGTCCCGCTCCGCCCTCGGCAGCCGGCTCTGCGGCCCACACTGGCCGCCCGCTGTCCTCTCTAAGCTGCGCAGCCCCAGGACCCGCGTGTCCCCTCACTGGTCGCCGGAAAGCCGCTTTCTTCCCTGTCCCGCAGGCTCTCCCTGGGGCGCCTGCTGCGTTCTGCTCTTAGAACTCCAGGGAGAAAATTCCCTAAAATCGGAGAGCCGTCCACAAAGCCTGGAAGTTCTTCCCTCTGCCTAATTCAAAATCTTTTGGCCCCCTTATTAATTAGATCTAAAGGAATGTGGATATGAAAAATTTTGAGCCTCCAACAAAGCAGCTGCAGGTACGCAGAAGACCATGTAAATAAAGGGCTTTCCTAAGACACGGTGTGAATGTGTGGAATTTGCTAACTCCCTGAGAAAAAAGCTCGAGCCCACTTCCAATGGGAGACCAATAGGAAATAAAGAATGTAACAAGCTTGGAGCATTCAAGCTAATTTGATTGGGTGAGTTATTCTGATGCGCCGCAGCTTTTGTGAAACACATTTAATTGGCTAGGGTCATAGAGACTAACTGGGATTTCTCTCTCTCTCTCTCTCTCTCTCTCTCTCTCTCTCTCTCTCTCTCTCTCTCTCTCCCCTCCCTCCCTGTCTCTCCTCTCTCTCCTGCCACATACTGGGGACTGAACTTCCAATCCCTTTTAAATGTTTTATTTTGAGACGGCTGGCGTCTCCCTAGGTCCCTGAGTTACCCAGGCTGAGCTTCAACTTGCCATCCTCCTGCCTCAGCCTCTCCACCCTTGATTTTCAAACTCCTGAGATGCTAACAGCTTGGAAGACGTGCAGAGGTGGCTGGAAGGTGGGGACTTTGTCCTGTTAGGGGTGAGGAGGGGGTCAGGCACCTGACATGACTCCGGCGACAACCTGGTGCGGGAAGTGAGCAGCGAGGTAGATCCGGGACAGACACACATTCAGCTGCACGGCCCAGAACACCAACCACAGAATGACGCTCAGGCACCTGCGGAGGAAGAGGCCACGGTAGCCAGAGCCCAGCACCTACGCTCTGGAAGCCCCCTTGCTGCCAAGCCTCACGTTCTTGTCTTAATGACAGAGGTCACACGAGTGGGTCCCTTCCAGCACTAACATTCTGTGGCTTTAGTGTCTATGCTCCACAGAAGTGTCCCAGCTTCCCAGGAATAGGAATGGGCTAGGGAGGTGGAGAAGAGCAGGGGGCGTCAGACACAGCCAGGCCACCTCCTGCCACCACTTCACCCCTGCAGAGTTCTTACCGAAATCTGTAGGTTGGTGTTTTCTTTCCCTGAAAGCTAGCGAGGATCGAGGTGACCATCACGTAGTACACACCTGCTGAGCCCATAGCATGGCCGGAAGGACTCCCTGAGGGCGGGAAAAGAACAGCCAGAATGTGAGAAGGTCACACTGGAGAGGCTGCCACAGGCTTCATTCACCCAACTGTCCAGCCATCTTCCTTCCCACCTATCCATTTATTCTCCAGTCCACCCTCCCGTCCATCCATCCTCCATCCATCATCCTCCCATCCACCCCCCATCTTCCATCCACCAATCCGTCTGTCATCCTCTCATCCATCCATCCTCCATCTTCCATCCACCAATCCATGTATCATCCTCTCATCCATCCATCCTCCATCCATCCTCTATCCACCATCCTCCCACCCACCCATCCATCCTCCATCCATCCATCCTCCCACCCACCCATCCATCCTCCATCCATCTATCCTCCCACCCACCCATCCATCCTCCACCCATCCATCCTCCATCTTCCATCCACCAATCCATGTATCATCCTCTCATCCATCCATCCTCCATCCATCCTCCATCCATCCTCCATCCATCCTCTATCCACCATCCTCCCCCCCACCCATCCATCCTCCATCCATCCATCCTCCCCTCCATCATCCATCCTCTCACATATGAGGATGCAAAACTTTGAACCTCCAGTGAAGCAGCTGTAGATACGTCCTACGTCTGCAGAAGACCATGTAACTAAGGGCTCTCCTTAGCCCTGGGTGTAAATGTGTGAAATTTGCTAATTACCTGAGAAAAAAGTTAGAGCCGTTCTAATGGAAGATCTTCCATCCATCCTCTCATCCATCCATCCATCCTCCCATCTATCCTCCATCCATCCTCCATCTTCCACCCACCAATCCATCTACTGTCCTCCCATCCATCCATCCTCCATACATTCATCCTCCTGTCCATCCTTCATCCACCATTCTCCTACCCATCCATCCATCCTCCATCCATCCATCCATCCATCCTCTCATCCATCATCCATCCTCTCATATATCCATCTTCCATCCATCCTCCCATCCATCCATCCTCCATCTTCCATCCACCAGTCCACCCACCATCTTCCCACCCACCTATCCTCCATCCATCATCCTCCCATCTATCCTCCATCCATCTACCATCCTCCCATCCAGCCATCCAGCCATCCATCTTCCATCCATCCTCCCACCCACCAGTCCTCCATCCATCATCCTCCCATCCATTCTCCATCCATCCATCCTCCTGCCCATCCATCCATCTGTCCATCCATCCATTCGTTTACCCATCCATTCACCTGCCCTGCTTTCCATTCATTTATACATAACTTACTCAGCTAACAACTACCTACTGAGCCCTTGCCATAGGCTAAGCACTGTGCAAGGCCCGGGGAGCACAGTGGGGAGCAGCACCTGCGAGGACCCTTGCTGCTGTGACCACACAGAACACCCACACAATGAATGAGACGCTCACGCCACTCTGCCTGCCACCGACTTTCTCATTCCGCCTGTCCTTCGCTCACTGTTCCGGCCACACCGCTGCCTGCTGTCCTTTAAGCCTGCCTGGTGCACCCCGACTCCAGGGCCTCAGCATGGCTGTGCTCTCTGGCCAGACAGCTCTTTCCAGAATTCCCCCGCCATGTCCCTGGCTCCTCCACCTTGGCTCAGGCCTCTCCTGATCAGTGGGTCCCCTCAGGCCACCCTACTTAACGCTGCAGTCATTACCCTGGCCAATTCATCTGCCAGAGCGACGCAGGACCCGTGATTCCCCAGATTGCCCAGGGCAGAGGTTCAAACGGCCTCCACTCCAGGCTTCTCTGGGTGCTGCCAAGGCTAATGGCCACGCAGATCAAGGTCACCTCTTTTTTCCTGGGTGGCCTGCGCCCAGTAACTGGTCTGTACCAGGACCTAAAGGCCAGGGGCCGCAGAGGAAGGATGGGGGCAGCTCTGGTCTCTGAGCTCCTCATGGGGCTGGGGAAGGCCGGGCCCACCCACGTCTCCTCCTCGCCTCCCTAGCCTCTTCCCTAGCTTCAGTTAGAGTAAACCTCGGCGCCTCCTCCGCGGCGCTTCTGTGCCTCGCCTGTCAGTTACCCTTTCCGCCTCGCACTCCCTCCCTTCGGGCTCCCCACCCAGGCCGCAGGCTGCTGCCTCCGCATGGCTGGGTCTCACCTGGTCCTGTCTCGCAGGTGACCGGGAACTGTTTAATCAGTGGCGCTGAGGTGTTGTCGTAGTAGTCTGTGTCCCGGACCCACCAGTACGGGCGATGTCCGAAGAGGATCCTGGGAGAAGCAGAGGAATTGGTCTGAGTCACCCCATGGATGCTTTTGCAGGAACCCACACTTCTAGACGAGAAGGGAGCTTGAGGATCCTGTGTCCCCTCCAGGCAAGGGACTAGGTGGTGGGACAGCCTGGAGAGACTTTCATGACACAGCCTTCAGTTCACTTTTGACATCTGAATGTTTTATCCATTCAAACATAAGTATTGTACAGCAATTAACCACTAAGAAGAATATATGCAGTGTATTATTTGTTGAAACTGTACTTCCGATTTGATTTGAAACTGTCTCACTGCTATCTGCTTATCAATAAAACTTTGAAAAAAAAAAAAAACATAAGTAAATCCGCATCAGGTATGATGACATGTACCTTAGGCCCAGCTCCTCAGGAGGCTGAGGTAGGAGGATCTCTTGAGCTTAGGAGTTCAGGACCAGCTGGGCAACATAGCAAAACCTCATCTCTTCTTTTTTTAGGAGGCGGGGCGGGTAGTTACTGGGGGTGAACAGAGGGACTCACACATGCTGGGCAGGTACTCTACCACTGAGCCTCACACTTGATTCTATTTATTTTATTTTACTTTATTTTGTTTATTTATTTATTTATTTGGCGGAACCGGGAATTGAACTCAGGCCCTTATACTTTCTAGGCAAGCACTTATTCTACTGAGCTATCTCCCCGGCCCTTTATTTTTTTATCTTTTATTTATTCATTCATTTGGTACAGGGTCTCACTATGCAGCCCAGACTCAGAGTGACCTTCCTGTCTCAGCCTCCTCAGCCCCAGAATTACAAGCATACACCACCATGCCCAGCCTCAGTGGCCGGCCTGGTGTGGGCCGGCACAGCATGTTGCACTGGGGTCTCAGGTCCTCGCGCTTGCCAGGCGGGTTCTCCAACCGCCGAGTTCTCTCCCCAGCCCAGTTTTTCTTTTCTCTTGCTTTCTCGCTTCCTTCTTTCTTTCTCCTTTCTTCTTTTCTTTCTTTGCACTGTAGTCTGCCAATTTTCATTTCTTATTTTGAGACATGGTGTCCATAAATTGTCTTGAACGTGTGATCCTCCCTTCTCAGTCTCCCAAGTACCTGGGATTACAGCCATGAGCCACTCCACCTAACTGGAGACCCCAGACCTTTTTTCCTTTTTTTTGGTCTTTTGAGTCAGGGTCTCACTATTCAGTTCAGGCTGGCGTTGAGATCACATCATCTTTCCTGCCTCAGCTTCCTGAGGGCAGGGTGTGCACCCCACACCAGGTTTGAGACCACACGTCTCTCTCTTTTTTTTTTTTTTCTTGTATTTTTAGGGAAGGGTCTACAGGGTGTTCAGGGTCTCACTACTAGATTGGACTCATAGTGATTCTCCTGTTTACAGCCTCCCAAGTGCTGGGGTTACAGGCGCGCAGCACGCTGTCCGTCGCAGTGCGCCGCGGGGGCAGGGCCGGGCCGGGGCCAGCGTGGCAGGCAGTATAAGCAACCTCCAGGCCTGCACCTGCTTGCAAGCACTTTAATGCGCTGAGCTGTTTGGCCAGCCTGAGACCACATTTCTTAATATAAATCTATCAACCGATCAATCACAGGATGAAACATTCCATGTCAGTGACAGCTAAGTGATTTTTTTAACCCCAAAAAGAATTCATCTGGGAAAGATGCATAAGAAAAGTAGTCGGCGCGTGGACGTGCCTCCACGGTGGCGCCTGGACATGCCTCCACGGTGGCGCCTGGACATGCCTCCACGGTGGCGCCTGGACGTGCCTCCACGGTGGCGTCTGGACGTGCCTCCACGGTGGCGCCTGGACGTGCCTCCAGGGTGGCGCCTGGACGTGCCTCCACGGTGGCGCCTGGACGTGCCTCCAGGGTGGCGCCTGGACGTGCCTCCACAGCGGGCTCGGTCTT